TAAATTAATAAGTTAAATTACTAAATTAGTAAGTTCCAGGCCAGTAATTCAGTTTAAAAATCCTTCTTTCAGACAAAGAAGAAAAAAATCTAGGGTGGAAGAAAAGAATGGGAAAGAATGAATGAACAGGCACCAGGGCTTCAGTTATACAGATGAGTGGTACGGCCATAGATCCTAAACAGACTCAACAGAACTGAAAACATGGAATCTGAGTGGCAACCACTGAAACTCTGTAATGTTCCTGTCAAGGTGATGAGCAGGGCACAAGAGAAGGGTTAAGGTGGGGAGGTAATATGAGGACACTGATGGAAGAAGCAAACATGTTCTATTATGTATCTACATATAATAGAACAAGTTCTAATTTATCTAATAAACTATATAATTTATAGAATTTCATGTTAATATAATAAGTATAGTCTTATATGTTTGCAAGGAGTTCTGTTTTTCAAGGTTGAACTGTTACAGGAGAACAAGAACTCCTTGTTGAAGTACTATATGCCTAAAACTCAACTATCAATAACCGTGTAAATCACAGTTCTTTAATAATAAAAAAATATGGGGGTGGAGGGAATCCTTTCATAGGGTTTTAGTAAGATTTTGAAAAAGAAATAAAAAAAGATATTCCATGATCTGCACAGAAGCAGCAAATCCTCAGTAAATAATAAGATTTTACAATATGCAAAAAGCAAATGAGGAGTTACGGCTTATACTGGATGAAAACAATGCATGCACCTAATTTCATCTGGATTAAAATCAACAAGTTTTGACTCGAAAGAAGATGGAAGTAAAACTAGACTTCTCCCAAGGAAACAGCTAAGTACCTGACACAGCATACAAACAGCATTTCAAATGGTCTCTAAAGTTTTATGGCTCATAACCAGCATCACCGACGAGCATTGTTTGGCCCTAACCTAAAGTTCAATACCAAAAAAACTTTAGGAGGGAAAATACCAAGGGTCACATTTACAAGTTCAATGTGATCTTCAAGGTTTATCTTCCTTTCAGTGTTCTGAGAATGTTCACGTGCCATTTTCAAAATTTCAGCCACAAAGTCAATGCAAACATGTTCTATTATGTATCTACATATAATAGAACAAGTTCTAATTTATCTAATAAACTATATAATCTATAGAATTTCATGTTAATATAATAAGTATGGTCTTATATGTTTGCAAGGAGTTCTGTTTTACAAGGTTGAACTGTTACAGGAGAACAAGAACTCCTTTCACCCAGAAGAGAGAAATCACGAAAAGACATGAGACTTTCTTGAAAGGGACGAGGGGTGGGGCAGAGGAAAAGGGGCTTTGCCAACAGGTGATCAATAGGTGCAAGGTAACTCTCAGAGATACTCAATCAGCCAATTGGAACTCAATCAGTTCTAAATTCATTGCCAGGGCCCAAGGAGATAAGCCCTGGAGTGCCAGGGACCAACGTGGGCACCTGGACAGTGCTTGAGGCTTCCGGGACAATACCTGGCAGTGTTCAGTGACCATGTGAGGCTGGGGGCCTTGAGCACTAATTTTGACATGATCCTCCTAGGAAACAAGAGTTAGAAAAGGGCAGGATATGTACTGAGTCTCACAGGAGAGTTCCACTAAGTCTCTTTAAAAAAAAATTCTTTTTTAAGATTCACCATAAAGTACACAGTTACAAAGCTGTTCATAATCAGGTTTCAATCATACAATGATCTAACAGCTATCCCTCCACCAGTGTCCATTTCTCACCACCAATGACCCCAGTTTCCCTCTCGCCATTCCTGACAGTTCCCCAGTCTACTTCTCTGGCTCTATGACAGGCATGTTCCTTCTCTTCACCCCACACCCCTGTCTCTCCCCACTTCTGGGCATTATGGTCTGCAACACAGATACTGAGAGATTATCATGTTTGCTCCTTTACCTACTTTCAGCACACAGTTCCTATCCAGATCACTGAGTCTCTTGTGATCATTTTTAATTGTCAGTAAGCAGATGGAGGTTTAGTCATGAGTTTTCTGAAGAATAGGAGGCATTTTTCCAGGAACTGGCATTTCATCCTTTTTAGTTCCTTACAAGTCTCTGTGTTATCATTCTGAACTCTCCTGGTATTGAGGGTGCGAACCCCACATGAGTTTTGCCACAGGGGGTCAGCTAAATGGCAAATAATCAGTGTCAGATTACTTTCTACTAACTAGTGGTCCCCATTCTCAGAATTATATTTTATTTATTAATGCACACTCTATCAAACCACTAAAAATGAAAACCACCCGTAATGAACACATTTATGTGACCCTCACTTTAAGAAAACCAAGACCATACTAAAATAGGGCATTAAGAAAAATCAAATAACAATTTACATTTTAAAGTGATCATTGAATAAGGCATTGAAATGGTTTTAAAGTCCAAATAATTTTGGAATCTCTTCTATATTTTCCTACAAACAATTAACTTTAACCTTTTCCAGGACAAGAAAAAATGATCTCAAAGTCAGTCATTTTAGTTTTATGCTCACAGTCCCCAAGAGACCAAAATTGTGCCTTCTTAACATGATACCCTGAGGGTATATACTTGAAATTTTCTTGCTTCAAACTTACAAAATCTCAGTTTTTTTATATGCACTCTTTAATAAATGGGGTTCAGTTTTATCAGTTATCAGGGAAACAAATCAAAACTGCATGCAAAATTACTACATTCCAACAGAATAGCTACATTTTTAGAAGGCAGACACTTCCAAATACAGGTAAGATACAGGAGATAATTGAAATTGCCCTTCCACCATTTTAAGCATGTTTGTACAAATGACTCTAGATAAACTGGTAGTATCTATAAAAGTTAAGTCCATGTCCATTGTAGGAACCAGCAACTCCATTCCTAGATAAGTACAGATAAGTACTCAACAAAGTAGGACATATTCACAATGACAAAAACAGGCTAAATTTCTATCAACGGCAGAAAGCGTGATTAAATTTGTGGTACATACACCCCATCTAGCATACAGAGCAATAAGAAAGCAAGAACTCCAAGCTCCTAGAGGGATATGGAGGAATTTTATGAATGTAATATTGGGAGAATGTGGCCATAATCATATTTTCATTTTGTGACGGCACATTTCCCATCTCATTTCTGACTTTATCTGACTTTATATATTCTAATTATATATATGGATACTAGCCACTTATTCACACTTGACAAATCAGGTCAATGTTTCTTTTAAGTAAATTTAAGATTTTGATGAATTTTGTGATTTAAAAAACCTTTTCTCTAAACTATTCGTTATACTTTTTTGATATTAATATTGCCTACATTTCTTTGGTTAAAATTATACTGTTGTCAAATGTAAAATATGTTCAGTTATAAAAATAATTTTTTCTGAAAGTTTTAAGTCTGTCCTTTTTGTTATTGATCTAACTCTGATTTAGCTCTATATGTTATATTCGGCTGTGCCTGATTGAGTGTACAGCATTAAAGAACTTTAAGTACTAGAAAAAGGTACAATTACCAAGGGTCCCCCCTATTTATAAGTTCAATGTAACCCATTACATAAGTTTTAGCTCTAAGCATATATAGGTTTCAAGACATAAAAAGTAATATATCAACATTTGTATATAATATGTACTGGTCACCAAATGTTTATTTTCCACCCATCACTATATAACTGTTACCCCTTGCCTTCTGGAATCATTGTTTTATCTGTGTAATCTAAGAGTTTGCTTTTGTTTTGTTTGTCCAATTACTTTGTCTTCTACATAAAGGTGTGTACATTATTTTTTAAAATGTAGTGCAAATATATATGTGTATATAAATATATGTTGCATGCTGTCTATTATCTTCCACTCTAAATGCCCTCAGCATATAGAAATCATTGATCACAACTACACCTTTCTGTTGAACTTGACACACATTTGACAGTCTGCTCAAATAGTGCTTTGGGAAAACACCAAGCATAGAGATAGAGCAAGGTTGACAGAAGAAACAGGATATTTTCCATTTCCAATTTCTTTTCCTCTATGCATTTGTTAGACCAAGCTAATCTTTATGCTCCAGTTTTGTCCAGTTTTTCTGCTCCCTCTGGATAAATCCAATCTCTTCAGACAGGAAGACCAAGCAAGGTTCAGGGTTACCTCCAAGCAGTATTGCCAAGCATGGGTGTCTTCTCCAGTGTTAATTGCTACAATACTCCAATCAAGGTCAGGAGGTCAACTGAAATGTTCGCTCTACACAGAGATTAAGTCATCCATTTGTATTTGCATCTCTAAATTTATAGCAGCATTATTCATAATAGTCAAAACTTGGAATAAGCCTAACTGCCCTTCAACAGATGCTTGGTTGAATAAGCTCAGTGAATATGCCCAATGGAACATTCTTTGCTATTTAAAATGATAAAGTTATGGGCTGGAGAGAAAATACAGCATATAGGGCACTTGCCTTGCATGTGTCTGACCTAATCTCAGCACAACATACAGCATCTATATAGTCCTCCAAATCCAGGTAGAAATGATGCCTGAGGCCAGAGCCAAGAGTAAGCCCTGAGCACTGCCAGGTGTGGTCCCAGAACAAAAGCAAAATTGCACCGCTGAACCAAAATAGGGAGAACGTAAGGTAATTGTGTTAAATGAAATTAGTATATAAATGAAAGATAATTATTGAATTGTTTCAATCTTACATAAAATATGAATTACTGGGGCTGAAGTGATAGCACAGCAGGTAGGGCATTGACCTTGCATGCGACTGACCCAGGTTTGATTCCCAGCATCCCAGATGGTCCCCCAAGCATTGCCAGGAGTAATTCCTGAGTGCATGAGCCAGGAGTAACCCCTGTGCATCGCCAGGTGTCACCCCCCAAAAATATGAATTACTATAGTAGCACTGCACTTTAGCACCGTCCTTCTGTTGTTCATGGATTTGCTCAAGCGGGCACCAGTAACATCTCTCCATTGTGAGGCTTATTGTTACTGTTTTCTTCATATCGAATACGCCACAGGGAGCTTGCCAGGCTATAGTAAGCAAATATTAAAACCAACAACAGTGCTTGCTTCGGCAGCACATATACTAAAATTGTAAAGATACACAGAAGATGAGCATGGCCCCTGCTCAAGAATGACATGCAAATTTGTGAAGTGTTCCATATATTTTTCGATCATTGTACAACTGAAACCCAAGCACAAACATTTGTAAGTCTACAACTATACCTCAAGGTGTTTCACTAATAAAAATTTAAAAAATAAAATAAAAATAAAAAACCAACAACAAACAATTAATAGACTCGATGAAAACCATGGTGGTTATCATAGGGAAAGGGTTTGGGATTAGGAGGACTCCTAATAAAGAGTTAGTAAAGTCCTCCTAATAGAAGAGGACGCCTAGTAAAGAGATTAAGGGGTCAGCTCTGTTCATGGTAGGGTGGTATGGAAATATTTGTGGTAGGAGTAGTAACAACTACACACACAGGGGGATGACACCAAACCCCAAAATTCCACAGCATTGTAAACCAAAGACAAGTCAATGTAAAACTGGAAACTTAAAAAAAATCCTTTTATATTATCTAAGATTTTGTTCCTACGGCTGGCTGTGAAAAGTCCTTTTCAACTTCCAGTCAGTCTTCCTTTTGGGGGACCTCACGCAGTCACCTACCTTTAATTTCCCTGGCAGATGTTTGATTCTCATTATAATGCCATTAGAACAAGGTGAAATCTCTCCAAACCTGGGCAGTGGGATGGCATAAAAACAAGCTCGGCCCCTTCATTCATCTAAGTCATCATTGCTACCTAACTGTGCCATGGCAAGTTTGTACACAATTCCTCAATCAGTGAAAACTCTCCCTCCATAAGGGCTGAACTGATCTTTTTCTGTAAAAATGTTCAAAACCCACCACAAATAATGTTATCTTCTTTCTAGCTATTATTCATCTGCATGAGACATCCCACTCATCACAGAGCTGATGTCCATACAAGATGGCGGGCACCTTCCCCACTCACCACCTACACCTGGTGGCCCCTCCATTCCAACTCCCGGACTTGAATCATCTCTTTCCAATAGCCAACTTGCCTGACTTTCAATTCACTCCTCTGATCATGAGACATGAATTTGGTCCTGTGTTTGAGTCTACAGTGTGCACTTGTCCACAAGATGATGCCATTGGTTGGAGTAAAGGCTCGTTTTGCTTTGCAGTGGCCATGCCTCAAACACACAGCCTCATGGGCTCGTGTAAGACATGAGCTCTGCTACTGAGTTACATCCCGGCTATAAAGAGCAAGAATAATACGGATTAAGAACATTGCCAAAGTGTATCACGGATGTCTAGTTTTGAAGCAAGGGATGGCTGAGCTCGCAAGCCATCTAGTCTTGACAGCACCCTGAAGGAACAGGCCTGATTTAATGCTCTCTAGTCTCTTATGATCTCACTCAGTTCCAGTCACATGGGCCTCGTCAGAATTTCCAGAACATGTTACCTCCTCGGGGCTCTTGCTCTTGCAATTATTTCTGCCTGGACTGCTTCTCCCTCATACTCATATTGCTCTCAAAGGCTCACTCCATTGCCCCTGACTATATTTACTCAAATGTCCCTTTCTCAGCGAGGGAACCTCTGACAATCCATATATATGTCAGCAATATTTTGGTGACTTCCCAGCACCCCCTCCTATTTTAAGTTATTTGCTAGTATTTATCATTGAAATAAAATATAAATTTATTGCTGCTTGAAGCACCTGTAAATTCTTCTTAGGGAGCTTATTTGGAGTCAAGTAGACACTGTCTCATCTCTAGCTGTCATGAAGATTTCCGGGCAAAAAGTAAGACGTTTAGGTAAGAATCAAGCAGACTCCTATGCAGGATTTCCTCTCCGGCTTTGAAGAAACACCCAGTCACTGATTCTGCCTTACTGGGGACCAAAAGGAATATCAGCTCCCTGTTCTCTCCTGCTCAATGACTAAGAAAGGAACATGTAGACTTTCTGCTGATGGTTACAAAAACCCCACACTACACCATGCCATTATTCAGCCTGGCAATCAACCCAAAACTTCATATGTGTGACCTCTGCTTGTTTGGAACTCTCTCCTGTTTGACGCTCTTACACCCTAACCTCCAGAACAAGCCACAGCAGCAGCCCACTTTGTCTTCTCAGATAAGCACTTCTTGAATCATTCTGCCACCTGAATATTTCTAAGCCAGCACTATGAAATCTGGCATAAAGAGAAGAATCCATTTACATTAATTGTGGTGGGGTCGGGAGAGTGGCCACACTACGTGGTGTTTAGTCTATACTCCCAGCTCTATGCTTAAAGACCATGTGGTAACTTGGTGGTACTCAGGGGACCCTTGTGTTGCTGAGGCCTAAATTCAGGCCTTCTAGATGTAAAGTATGCAGTCTAACCTTTTGAGCTCTGTCTCTCACTTTCTCTCTCTGGCTCTCTCTGTTTCTGTCTCTCTGTCTCTGTCTCTATCTCTCTCTCTCCAGCCCTGATATTAATTTATACAGAAAAATAAATTTAGCATCCCCAGATTCAAAGGATATTCCACCAAATCATACAAAGAAACAGATGAAACTTAAGAGAACACTCAGATCATATAAAAGTAAAGATTTTACCATCTGTGCAGTCTGTAGGAAGCAGAAACGGTATGTGAGCCATATCGCTTCACTTTCCAGAGCCCCAAGACAGCTCACACACTAGCATGCTCAGACGTGGTACTGACACGATGTTAAACTAAGTCACTAGAGAGTGGGGTGGTAGGAGGAATGGGGCCTTGGGGTGTAGAGGAAAGAGGAAGGAGGAAGTCATCTATTATCATCTCCATGTCACATAGAGCATCAGGCATGTAGATCCCTAACATTGAAACTTTCCACCAAGTCTTTCTGCTTTGATACCAAAGGTAATGTCCGTCTTCCACTGCACCTCATGTAGCTGGTGTGAAGGGTTTGGAATAAGACAATCTGCCTCTTATCATTCCAAGACTCAGGGTGCAGACTGCCTCTACGTGGGTCCATGAAAAACACTGTCACTCATTTGCACTTGTTTGTTCATTACAGCACTGTTTACAATAGCTAGAATCTGGAAAAAACCTGAGTTCCCAAAAACAGATGACTGGTTAAAGAAACCTTGGTACACAATGGAGTACTGTGTAGTTTTAGAAAATATGAAGTCGTGAAATTTACATACAAGTGGTACTACATGGAAAGTATCATGTTAAGTGAAATGAGACAGAAAGAGAGGTACAGATATTGAAAGATTGCATTCATCTGGGGAACATAAAGTAACAAAATAGGAGACTAACACTCAAGAATAGCTGAGATAAGTACCAGGAGGTTTACTCCATGGCTTGGAGGCCAGCTGCACACGCTAGGGGAAAAGGCAGCTCAGATAGAGAAGAGAGCACCAAATAAAGGGTGTTGGGAGGATTCTCCCAGGATGGGAGATATGTGCTGAAAGTAGACTATAGACCGAAGATGATTGCCACTCAATGCCTCTTTTGCAAACCACAGCACCCAAAAGGAGAGAGAGAACAAAAGGGAATGCCCTACCACAGAGGCAGGGTGGGATGGGGGGATGGGGAGTGGGAGGATACTGGGACCTGTGGTGGTGGAAAATGGGCACTGGTGGAGGGGTAGGTACTCGAACATTGTACAACTGAAACCCAAGCACAAAAATTTTTAAGTCTACAACTGTACCTCATGGTTTAAATTAAAAATTAAAAAAATAAAATAAAAAAACACTGTCTTTGTCTTCCCGTTGTTCGTCGATTTGCTCGAGTGGGCACCAGTAGCGTCTCACAACAAATTGTGAGACTTGTGAAAACAAAACCCAACAATTTTGTTTTGGCTTTCTCTCTTAGCCTTTTGTTGTAAACATGAGCATATTCTGTAGTTCTTTGGATTTGTGAACACAGGAACAAATGTAAATCTTTCAAAAGAGAACTTGTGTAATGTAAACTTTTGATAAATGGGGGATATTTCTAATACTTATTTGGCTTATCTCATGGTCTTCCCTTCTGGAATGTAAGCCCCAAAGCACAGAGGATTTTGCCTCCTTTCTTCACTGCTATGCCCCGGGTACCTTGAGTTAGGAGCTTCATACATGGATGCCTATTGAATGAGTGTGTGAATAAGGAAACATATAATAAAACTTTAAGCATAAAGCAAAAACCATTTTCATTAATTTAGGTGGTTTGGGCTGGTTAAATTGCATAGGCTGAGTGGGTTAAATGAACATTTATTACATACTAAAGCCAAAGCTCAGGAGGCTAAGAAATCTGATAATAAGATACAGGCCAGCTTGGTTCCTATTGCAAACTGCTGTCCCCTCTCTCTGTGCCTCACATGCCCTTTCCCAGGTGTGTGGACAAGAGACCTCTGTCTTTCTCTTCTTATAAGAAACTAATCCCCTCAGAGAGGTCCCAGCTTTAAGCTCTTTTCTTTTTTTGTTGTTATTTTACGGTAGGGCTTTTGCCTTGCACGCAGCCAACATGGCCGACCTGAGTTCGATTCCTACGCCCCTCTCAGAGAGCCCAGCAAGCTACCGAGAGTATCTCGCCTGCACGGCAGAGCCTGGCAAGCTCCCCGTGACGTATTCGATATGCCAGACACAGTAACAACAAAGTCTCCAATGGAGACGTTACTGGGCCTGCTCGAGCAAATCGATGATCAACGGGAGGGCCTTTACCTTTACCTTTACCTTATCAGTTTAGATGTTTTATTTTTATTTAGTTTTATTTTTATAAAGTTGTTTACAATAATTTATTACATTCAATGGTTTAACACAAATCCCACCGCCATTATACCTCCCCACCACCATTATATCAAATTTTCTCACCACCATCCCAGCCTGCCCCAAAGGCAGATACTAAATAATTTATTTTGTATTGCTTGTTCTGAATAATCCAAAAGGTTTCCTTTCAACTTTTACTAAAAATTACAAAACCAGTATATTTATCATCCATCCATCATCATCATCAGATTTTATATATTTATTTATTTAATTTTTATTAGTGAAACACCATGAGGTACAGTTGTAGACATACAAATTTTGGTTCTTGGGTTTCAGTTATACAATGATTGAGTACCCATCCCTCCACCAGTGCCCATTCTCCACTTCCAATGCTCCCAGTATCTCACCCACCTCCCAAACCCCCCATCGCACCC